ACACACACACACACACACACACGGAGAACAACACACAAGGCGCGACACTCCCAGAATAGCTGTATTGGACTAAAACTAGAAGTGGAGAAAGAAAGAGAACAAGGCCGTGTGCGTATATGCGCGGGCGCGCAGATACACGCACACACACACGCGCGCGCAGCAAAAAGAAAAGCGGAAGGCCGGCGCGAGAGAGAGGGAGGCACTGAGCCGGCCTGCCCCTGTTTTTATAGCTGGGAGGGGGGAGAGTGCGCGTGCGCGCAAGAGAAAAGCACCCGGGGCGAGAGGCCCACACCGCGGCGGGGGGAGGAGAGGTGCGCGTTCAGCGAGCGGGCACGCGCGCGCGCACACACCCCCCTCTTGCCCCGCGCCGGCCGCCGATCCCCCACACGGGCGAGGCAGCAAGCGAGGCAGCAGCAGCAGCAGCAGCAGCAGCAGCAGCAGCAGGAAGACGCGCTTAGTTGTAGACGAAGGTGACACCGACGCGGCTGTCGGCCAGGGTCTTGTTGACGGTACCGCCGACGGTCATGCGGACCTCCGGGCGGATGAGCTGAGAGTAGACAACACCAGCGACACCGGTGGAGTCGACCTTGGCCTTGAGGTAGGCGTTGGGGCTGAGGGCAATGCGCGAGGCGAGGTCCAGCTTGACCTCCTTCTTGTCGAAGGTGTACTTGGCGGAAGAACCGATGGTCAGCTCGCGGGGGACGACGTCCTTGACGAAGGAGACGGACAGGTTCTTGGGGACGGCGCAGCCGGCGGCCTCAGTGCCGACGGAGACCTCGTAGCCGTTGCCGAGGAAGGAACCGGCGGTGTTCAGCTTGTTGAGGTTGAACTTCTTGTCGGACAGGTCGACATTGGCGGAGACACCGAGCAGCACGCGGTCGTAGTTGGTGACGGCGTTGAGGGTGACGTTGGAGGTGCACTTGTCGGCGTGGGCCAGGGCGACGGTCAGGTCGGTGTTGATGTGGGCCTGGGAGAAGCCGGTGACGAGCTTGAGGTTGCGGCAGCTGGGCAAGAGAGCGGCCAGACCCACACACACACACACACAGAGGCGCGCGCACGCGCGACCGACACAGGGCGGCAGCGCAGGGGGGAGGGGGAGGGAGAGAGAGAGAGAGAGAGGGGACAGCTCGGTGTCAGCGGCGACATGCGACAAGGAAAGGCGAGGGGGAGGGGGGGGGGATGATACGTTGAGGAGGGGGGTTCTTGGATGGAAAGGCGGAGGAAGGCGCGAAGGGGCGGCGGCGGCCGCGCGCGCGTGGTGGAAAGGGGTGCGCGGCCGGGAACCGGGGGCGGCGGGAAGCCGGACCGGCGCCGGGCAGGCCGCGGAGCAGGGGCAGGAGCATCGGGACTGGCAGGGGAGGCGCCGCTGATAGTGGCGCCGGCGGCATCCTGGCTGCTGGCGAGGAGGCCGGGACCACCATCACCGGTGTCGGGGCCATCGACAGCGGCAACCCCGGGCAGGGGGGACACATAGGTGATGGCCAGTTGGAAGCGGAGCCCCCCGGGGGGCGACCACCGCCAGGGCTCCTCCCCCGTCAGGGGAGACGGCAGGTCATCAGGCGGCCGGGGTCGCCGCCAGGGCTGACTGCCACCAGTGCGATTGCCACCGCCGCCGCCACCACCTCCACCAGGCCGGCAGCTGCCAAGCAAGACACTAACACTGAACCCACGGGGAAGGGGGGAGGAAGAGGAGGGAGGAGAAGGGGGGAGGAGGGGGCCGCCACCGCCGGGACCTGGGGCCAGGCCCGGAGGCGGGAAGGAGAAGGAGGCCACATGGCCGAGGCCGACGCACTTCTTGTTGGGGTTGAAGAGACCCTCCAGCTCGAAGGTGGCGCCCTTGACGAGGAAGTTCTTGGCCTCGAAGGTGCTCTTGAGGTCGGAGCTGGTGTTGACGAGGTTGGTGAAGGTGATGCCTGTGTGTGTCGGGAGGGGGGGAGACGGGTCAGTGGTCAGCGGCCGGTGCGGGAGAGCCGGGCCCGGGGGTGCCCGGCGGAGGAGGGGACCAGCCAGGGGGAAGAGCAGGGAGACGGAAAGGAAGCGAGCGCGCGGGCGACGGACATACCCTTGGCCTTGTCGGTGTACTTGAACTTCAGGTCGGCGGCGACGATCTTGCCGTCGGTGTGGGTGCCGGTGGCGGTGACGGTCTGTGCTCCGGGCGATGGACGGAGAGACGGCGGTCAGAAGGCAGGAAGGAGAGGCGCGGCACACTGCGGGCCCGAGGGGCATGATGGAGGGGGCCGAGCATGAGGGCTGGCACACGCAAAGAGGCCGATACGCACGAGGGGCTCAGCGTTGACGTTGGCCTCGACCTTGAGGCCGTGCTTGGGGAAGTCCTTGTCGAGGAGATCGCGGTAGATCTTGCCGACGTCAGCGAACTTGGGGGGAACGGCCATTTTTGCTTTGGGGGAGAGAGGTGCGGGGGAGGGGAACTGCAGAGGGGGGGGGGGAGGGCAGCGCGAGAGGGCATGCACGAGAGGGGGGAGGGAGAAGGGGAGGGCGGGGGGGCGGGCCATGTCAGCGGGGAGCGGGGCAGGTGGAGGCCGCCGCGAGGGGACGGCCAGCAAGCGAGGCGGGGGGGGGGGATGCAGGCGCGCGAGGGGCGAGAGGACGGACCACAGAAACGGAAGGAATGAGTTCTCTGCCGGGGGGGCTGGGGCGCCGGCGGACGGCGCGCCAGGCCCTCATCAATGTTGGCTCCCCTCCACCCCGGTGGTGGCAGGAGGCGCGGCACCCACACCCGGGACGCAAGTCCCCCCTCCCCCCCCCCCCCCCCACACACACACACACACACACAGGGACACACACGCACCACACACAGTGTCTCCCCCCCCCGGGGCAGAGGGGGGCGGTGCCGCCCAGCCGGGTAACCGCCGGCGCCGGGCGCACTCCCCGGCACAGCCCACCCTCCCCGGCCGCGGTCCCACCCCCGGGCCATGGGTGCAGCTGTGCCGCGACTTCGGGCCCGGCAGACTGCCCGGGGTGCGCCGTGCGTCTCCCCCGTCTCCTCGCACGGCCCCCCGGCCGACCCGCCGGCCTGCTCCGAGAGATTCGGGCAGGGGAGGCTTCCAGAGCCGGGCTGGGCTGGGGACGCCGGGGGGGGGGGGG